GGGGGGGGGGGGGGGGGGGGGGGGGCTACTTGCTGTTCATAGTATTGTTGTACACGGTATAACAATTATGAAGAAACAAAGCAATCTATGATGAAACAAAAACTTCAAAAATCATAAGATACAACAAAAACACTATCAAGGCTATATATGAAATTATGACAGCACAACTTCATGCCGAAGCCAGCTAACAAGTCTCATACACGTGGAATGAATGCATTTATAATACCGAACAATACAATCGTGATAAATGTACAATTGTGCTTAAAAATGTGCTTATATTGTACTATGTAACTTGTGCTAAAATCTGTGGTGTACACATGGGGGCATGCTGAAACAGGTTATTTGAGTTTCAATGTAAAACGTTTTAGAGATAATACATTTTTAAACTTGAATTTAGTCATTGCTGTCTTTTGAACATAGACATAAATACGATCTGTCCGAGTGAAGTGGCCTAAGAATGACTGGATAGAGGTAGTTGGAAGGGAGTGGGGATGAATTGTGCAGGACAGCATACTATATTTAGGTTCTATCAAGATTCAGGCGCTCAAACATGGTACACATACCATTAGATTCACGGATACATACCTGAAAATGGCGTCAAAAGTCATTTTTTGCCAGGTTTAGTGGCATATAAGAGCGCTACAGGTGTCTGCGTTTGAGTGGGAAGGGAACACCCCCTGACATTTTACCCCATATCATTCCGCCACCACATATTAAAATCTACTAAAACTATTCGTTTTTCTAAAGTTCAATATCTGTGGATTTCATTCAATGTAAAATATGTCAACAAGTACCTATTAAAATTACTCAGAGGCACTGCATTAAACTGGAACAAATTTTAGGTAGGAATTACAATCGTATGAAACACTTGCTGATTGGGTGATTTAGTTGTTTGAGTAATAATAATAATACGATGTGTTATGCCGGAGCTTAGAGAAACTAATGACTCTTTGATCTTGTACAGGCTAAGGCAAAATTTGTTGTTAGATAAGCCGTTATCTATTGCTTTGGCAACAATAGAGATAAAGGGCAAAGTTTGTATAGCAACAATGGCGTACATGGTACATTTCGGTTTTGCTTGTATAACACTGGTTGTACAAGGTAAGGCTCGTATTCACATTTATTTCCTATTGTTCTTAATTTTTATCATCAATTTTAATACGAATGTAAATTTTACATAATTATATTGAACAGTTTATTTCTGATGCCGATAACCATGATCAGTTAGCTCATAGCGAGATAGCCACACCATGGTTGTGTTGAGGATTTCTTCATTCTTGGAAATAATCATTTTAGGGTTTAATTTCAAACAATGTTTTCACAGGAATTTGAATTAGCGAACATNTCATATCGCCGCCTGAATGTGGTTGTAAATTGAAAGAAAAGGGGAAATGAGTAACAACCTTGTCTGAAACCCTATTATATAGCTTATTATATACAAACTTTTATATTGAATATCAGAGCGGATATTTTCATGACAGTTTTATGATGTGTAACGACTAAATAAACAGTATCGATATAAAGATTTACACTGAGGACACCCTGATACATGAATACTGTTCTATCTCAAGTTGTCCTCTTCTGAATTTTCTGATCGTGTGGCCTTGTACATTTATCCGTATCTTCTTGTCTTTGTCTATACGTTTACGGAATCATTGACTCGACGCTAGCTATTCTTGTCTCACTTTCCTTGTTTTATTGTCCCATCTCCAAAGCGTTGTGGCTCTGTCAGGGTTGGGACCCTGACTTGTCTCACTTTCTTTGTGCCTGCCGACCACGCCACATCGAATAGATAGATTATCCATATGAAATACTTTATTTTGTTCTAAGTAATCAATCAATTCTGCGCTTCTTGGAGGTATTGAATGTGATTTATTATATTGTCTTGTTATTTTGTGTAATTAGTTGTTCGTTATTTATCACACATTTTCGCATAATTGTACCAAACTACTAAGTATTAGCTGTTTACAGCAATCATCGGTGGCTTGCTATTTTGTTACTTTATCGACGCTTCATAAACCAATCGTTATTGTTTCAAGATGGAGGGTAAATGTGTTGGAGAAGGGTGTCAAGTATACTTCAAGAAACGTAGTGGCAATAAGAACAGAAGTGCACGCAATGTAAATAGTCCACAATATAAATGGCTCCTAGATACGCTGGTGCAACAAGGATTGATGTCAGCAAAGGAACAAGCACTTATTTGCCAGAAGTGCTACATGAAGTATCTTCGGAACAAAAATCAGCCTGAACCTGAACCCGAGCAGAACCAGGAAATAGAGGAAGAAGACGACTCCCCGTCCCATATCCTGCCGTTGCTGACCCTTCATGATCTTTTGAATGGATCATCTTCACACAAAAAATGCTGTCTCTGTCTTGTTACCTTTGCAAGAAATGGAACAAAATCATCAGTCTTACCAAAACGTGCAAGACATCACCTGATCTATTCACACAAACTGTGGTGTCCCACCTCATCCCGCGTCTGCTCCATTCACCTTATTGGTAACGACTTAGATCCGTCTACAGAGGTTGTCCTTGATGGTAGAGGTTCCTTGGAATCTCAGTTACCATCAAAATCGTCCGAAATCATTAATGACCTCCTAGAGGTGTCGCACGTCCTTTCACAGAACCAGTCTGCGTTTACAATAAGCTTTTCTTCTCTTGATGACTCGGCATGCATGGCCTGGACAGGTTGGTCCAAAGATCAGTTCCTCGAAATCCACTCGCACTGTTCCCCATATCTTTCATCTGGTATATATACCAAGACTACACACGATGCTCTATTACTGTTCTGGGTAAAACTGAAAACCGACATTTCCTGGAGTCAGTGTTCTTCTCTTTTTGGAATTTCCAAGTCAAGTGTGTCCAAAACTTTCCACTCCATAGTACAGGCATTAGACACATCGATAGTCCCACAATTTCTAGGTCCGGATCACTTGACAAGAGAACAGTTGCTCGGGCACAATACTGTCTTTTCAGAAGCATTTTTTGGAGATAAAGCCACTGCCATATTAGATGGCACCTATATTTATATCCAGAAAAGCTCCGACCACAAGCTCCAGAGAATGTCCTACTGTGGCCAGAAGAAGAGAAACTATCTCAAATTCATGAGCATCGCCTTACCAGATGGCTACATTCTGGACACAGTAGGACCATTCACTGGCAGCGAAAATGATGCTACAATTACAAAAAAAGTCATGGACAAGCTAGTTACTTGGCTACAACCAGACGACAACGTTGTCGTTGACCGAGGTTTTAGAGATGTCCTACCAGTTCTCGAAGCCTCTGGCCTCAATGCTAGCATGCCGTCATACCTGAAACCCGGTCAAAGTCAACATTCTGACGTCCAAGCAAATCTTGACAGAACTATCACCAAATCGAGGTGGATTGTGGAATCCTATCATGGTCGTCTGAAACACTGGACGTTCTTCCGAACGCAATTGGTGTCTAACAGCTTTATCAATGTCATCGAGGCTTTGCTTCGAACCGTCACAGCCTGTCTGAATGGTATTAGAGGACCGATCTACCAGAGATCTCCAGAGAGAGATGCCAAAGATAGGCTAATGGCTGAACGTATGAAGGACCGTTTGACAACACCGAATGGTTTAGCTCAGAGAGTCAAGACAGATCCGGATCTATCTAGACGGGCAAGGTCCGAGTTTGTCAAGATGGATGCATCTTCCGTACTGTTTCCCCGTCTCGATCTTGATTACTTGAGAACCATTACGTGTGGAACGTATCAGATATCTCTGGCTCCTGGTTACATCGCCGAACATTTAAGTGATGACGGAGACTATGAGGTGTGGCTTTACCAGCACTCCCCAGACCTTCTCCGATGTCAAATACATTCTCGACACAAAAGCCAAACGAAATATAACGTTTGGATACGGTTCACCGTTTCACCCGATGTTGAGGCCCCAATAAAGGACTACTACTGCCAGTGCCCAGTTGGAGAGAGAACGATGGGAATGTGTGCGCACATCTCCAGTATCTTGTACTACCTTGGGTATTACAGGACGCTGGAAAACCCTCGACCATTACAACCACAGGTAAAGAAATTCCGACAAAACTTGAAATAGTTTTCCATGCGGCAACGGAGTGCATATGTCGAAAGTATGTTTGGGGCTCGATATGAAAGATCCCCGTTACCATGTGACTAACCAAACTTATAAATATAGGTATTATACAATCGCCCGTAGCTATGAACACTCCCGTAAATGCGAAAACCAACCAAAATCATAAGGAACACGTTTTGTTTGTTGTTCTGTCTATTTGTCAGCCAATGTCTTCAACCACGGGGACTTGTGAAGTAGCCATCTTGGATTTTTTTTATGAAAAAGTGTTTCTCTCACTTTTTTTCATATCTGTGTACATATTCTCAACATACCGAGCAAATACTCTCGTTTTTTTGTTAATTATCTAAAGAAAGTCGAAAATCGGCAATTCAACCATAGGCTAATTCAACCCAACATTTGAAAATGTTCCACCACTTACATTTTGATGATTTTTCCTCTCATCAATAGCATATTACGTACTGTTTAATAGGATAAAAATTGGTTTGCATCCAACGCCCATAAAAGGGTGTATTCTCTAAAAAACACAGTTTTTGTGTCTAAAATGTTATCATCGAAAATGGCATTTTTGAGATTGTTTCTTCCATAAAACAGCCAAATGGCGCGATGGAAACATGATTTTTTGTCACAATCATGCCATGAATGTATTCTTTACGGTGACCATCATTTGATTAGATTTTCATTAATATTTTACATAACATGCACATTTTATCAACACTTAGACAGCTTCTGAAAGGTACAACTTTGAGGAGCCATAAAAAACAAACCAAGTGACCTAAATCTTTATACTTTATAGATTTGTGACCACAACGGCATGGGCAATGCACCACCAACAGGAAATTTGAATCAGAGAAGGGGCCGTTTTGGAAACCGGCCCTTTCGTTGTAACAAACCGTAAACACACGATAACTTGATATCTAGATCCAAGAGAAACATTTTTGTGATATATGTATGTTAGTGCAGAGTTAAACGTTATCCTGCATCCCTATAGAGATATAGGACTAAGACCACAATTATTTTTACTATATGTTTCATTGTAACATTTAATTTCATAACAAATTCCCAATATCCGATAGCCAACTTTCCATCTAACCTGGTCAAGAGCAACATCTTGGGAGTAAAATATCAAAATTTCAACATAACATGTTGGCCTTTTTCTCGAGATAATCGTCTGCATGTGTCACCAATGTCAAAAATAAACTTCCGGGTCAGGGGTAGAGGTAAACACAGGACTTTTCAAACAGCACCCTGCACCAAAATTGCACAATATAAAAATTTGACACAGAAATTGTTAGATTGATATCTCCATAGTATTTTAACACCAAACCTTTACACAAACACCAAGTTGTAAGAGGCATAGTATATTTTTTACTAAAGTATCTATATTTCTAAGGGACTTCATTCCTGGGTACTGAACCCGGAAGCATTTAATTGTGACCTCAGTCCTATTATAGTTTGAGATTGATTGCTTTTCAGTGATCCGAGGATGTCCGAACGGCTGGGAAACATTTGATGGATCTTGCTATTTTGTGTTCAGCTTGAGGGAAGATTGGATAACTGCATCGGTAATTAACAAAACCAACATTAATATTAAAATATTCTGTTGAATACCTTACTATTTGAACAATTATTTGTTGCGTTTCAATATACCCGGAATTTAATGTGATTGGTATGTGATAATTTAATTATTTTAACTGTATGAATTGCTTCTATAGATAAGGTGTAATGAACGAATATTTGATTATTGATATATCTATCCCCTATATGTTTCAACATGAAGATAAGAAATTGTACACAAACTAAATAATGAACTTGTTCCACTTAACAGCATACGTGTAGCTTACACCATGGGTATCTCGCTCAGGCCGAAGATGATTACGAAGACAACTTCTTGAAACAAATAATCACCAAATATCATGGTTGGTTACGTTTCTGTTTGATAAAATGATGATCGACAAATATTCATAAATTATATTGAATGTCCGGTTGTGCGAAATAACGAAACTTAATTGTGTCATTTTAAATTGAAGTAAACACAACGATAATCAAGTGCGTAAAGAGGTCTATTTCATCACTGTGGACATTTTCATTTGGATATATGAACAAGCCGACAACAACAAAAAAGATGGCTATCTTAAAGTCGACTAGACTTGACATTTTTACTCCACGAAAGTAGCTCGTAGATCGTAATTCAAGGACAAAAATAACAAAGGAGAATACGGCCCATTGTTCTAAAAGCATCAGCGTTCAACTTCAACACACGTCATGTAGTTCTCAAATTTAAAACCGGGTCAGTGAAAAAGAACAAAACATACCATTGTTTTATTTGCCAAAAAACAAATACCAGGACTGCATTTCTATACCATAAGTATGCCGTTGTATGGAATTTGCTACGTATTTCTAACTGTTGCCAATTATTTCTGTTTTGTTATTGTAAAGTATTCAAAGTGTTAAATGAGAAAGGACGCACATTTGTTTGTTTTACAGCTTTCGAATAAAAGATTTGAATCTATTATCCATTCATGGTGAATAAAGAAAACAGATAGAATATATTTCTTCCGCCTATTTTGCAAATTGAGGGATACGGGAAAAACAAAAACATTTCTCAAATACGAAAACTTCAGCTGAATTTCAGTGTCCTATTTTAATAGAGGAAATGATTTATATAGAGTTATAATACGAGAATGTTTAAGATTTTGCTCACTTCTATCGAGGTTTTTTCCCGTGAACCATCAGGATAGATAAAGTGCATGTCCTTGAGCGGGTTTACAGAAAAAAACGGTCACATCTCGTTTGTTTTCTTCTCTAGAAGGAAAGAGAGGTGATACGCACTTTTGGTTAGGCGGAGATGACATGTCTAAAGAAGGAGAATGGCGATGGACAGCAAATGGTCAGCCTTTTAGTTATACTAACTGGTATCCTGGTGAACCAAACAATTACCACGACCAGGACTGCTTATTAGCGCATATACGGGGTACCCATTTCTACTGGGAAGATTGGAACTGCACCTCCAACTTCAATTTTGTTTGTGAGAGTGGGTATGTTATCTTTTTTGTATTTTCTTTTGCAAGGATTTCCTTATGCGACGAAAAACTGTAATTTCAAGGACATGTATAACACATATGGATTAATTAGTTTTATAGATTATTATAGGTGAAACATACTTGTTTATTACTGTATATTTTGAGTGCAAATGTTCATCATGTTTATTGAAAAGGAATTATTCATGCTGGTTTACAAATCAGAATTTCAATAAAACGAGTTTTCTTTTTTAAAGACGTTATTGAAGCTGCCTTTGGCCGTAGCAATAATGCAGTTATTGAGTTTATATATTGTTACATGTGACAAAATTCGTTTGGTATGATGTACTTATTACATTTATAAATAGGAATGAAGCTAGGGAATATTTTTACGGGACTATAATCGAATGTTAACCTTAATAATGATTTAAATATAGGATAAAAAATATGTAAAATTCTATATTGTGAACTACTTTCATAGAGTTGGTATAACAAGCTTCTTATCAAATAAACTACGTTTGTATATAGCAATCATCAAACATTTTGAAAGTCAGAGCTAAAGTTCTTCTACAATCACCCCTAAAATGCAGTTTTCGCCCTTTTTCAACAGCGAACTCTCATTTTTCTATACCGGGACTATTTATCGAATAAATCAACATTTATAGACTTGACCTAGACATTTTGTCTGATAAAAAAAGAATATTGTTAAGCGCATTGGTACTGGAAAACTGACAAAACTAGATGCGCACGAATTACATTTTCGCCAGTCAAGTAATTTACAGAAGTAAAATGTCGCAGATAGTTTCTCAATATATACTTCGTTATATAAAAGTGGCGGACTAGTCGGCATACAAAAATCAAGTGGCCAAACCAATCGGCTTTATAACAGTTAAATCATATTCGGTAAATCGATAACCTATCCGCTACCTCATGATCGAAAAAAATATAAACGATTATGAAGTATATTTCCATAGTTAATGTTTACGATCGTCAACACTTTTGCAGATCCTAAATTAGCGGTCACGTTAATGATCCTCAAATTATCGGAGACATATCCAGCTATATGGTATAGTTATACCAGATGATGGAGTACATGCTTGTGAATACAGCTAATATAGAGTATGCCAAAATAAATTAGCCTGAACCATAGAGCTGTGATACATGTATTATTACATCTATATAACTTAAATAATGGAAGTGAATCTCAATTTCGATCTATGAAGTGGTACAAAAACATATATGAGGGGCGATAGTTGAATTTTTAAAATCCATCTTCAAAGCTATAATGAAGATTGTGATTCCATTTTTTATGTCGTTTTCTACACTTTATAATTTTAATTTAAGGACCTAACTCTTCGTTTGTAAACGAAAATACATTAAAACCATATTTACTATGTTTTTCAGAGGACACTGGATACAATTCGGTTGAAAATGAATATAAATGTCACCTGGAATACAAGTGAAAATAAAATAATATACATTATACATTTGTCACTTTTCCTACATCATTAACTCAACAAGAATTTATACCTACATGAAAGTGTAAGTCATTTGTACAAACTGAATACCTGTACATTATAGGGTTTTTGGTAATATGTACATATAATGTAGCACACACATACATGAATATATTAAATAGTACAAACACTGTACATACAGTATGTTATACAGTGTATAAACTGTACCCATCGTGATTGGGAAGCAATCTAAAAACAACACTATATACAATGGTATATTTATTGTAAATAAATGCATATGCTTATCCTGTCTTTTACGAACACATCAAAATACCGATGCGTAAACAAAACAGTGATCCTCAAACTCGATCAAGATTTATTAAAACAAATTTTAGGGAAATTCAACTGTCAATACTTTTGCACAAAGAATTACTTTTTCATTAATAACACAAACAAAATGTAGAAAGGAAAGTAGATATTGCAAGTTTCCCTCCGTTATGAATCTATATGTATATCGAAATGACATTAAAGTACCTACATTGCATTAAGCATATACATAGTGTAAGGTAATGGGTCACTGAGGTATATAATATTGAACTGAAACATTGAAATTGTAATAAGTATTTTAACCACATAATCCTTCAATACTACAATTTCACACCATGGATTAAAAATATGAATGAATTGTAATATACTTTCATCAATGGAAAACAGACTTCATGGAATTGTATGATCAAGCCATATGCATGTTGTTCTCTGCTGGAACAGCTTTGTTTGTTGTAACAGCTGCATAATGTAGTGTTATAAATGTTTGGCATACTGTATCAATACAGAACTTTATAGGTGAGGTCACATACTGTATCAATACAGAACTTTATTGGTGAGTTCACATACTGTAGCAATACAGAACTTTATAGGTGGGGTCACATACTGTATAAATAAAGAACTTTATAGGTGAGGTCACATCCTGTATCAATAAAGAAATTTATAGGTGAGGTCACATCCTGTATCAATAAAGACCTTTATAGGTGAGGTCACTTACTGTATCAATAAAGAAATTTATAGGTGAGGTCAAATACTGTATCAATAAAGAAATTTATAGGTGAGGTCACTTACTGTATCAATAAAGAAATTTATAGGTGAGGTCAAATACTGTATCAATAAAGAAATTTATAGGTGAGGTCACATACTGTATCAATACAGAACTTTATAGGTGAGTTCACATACTGTATCAATACAGAACTTTATTGGTGAGGTCACATACTGTATCAATAAAGAACTTTATAGGTGAGGT